TGACGCAACAGAAACATCTGTGTACGCCACCGTACAACAAGCAGCGGACATCGGAACTTCTGAAGCTCCTGGAGGACAGGCGCCATCCGACAACCGCGAACATTCATCGGACACGGTCCCTGGGGTTCAAATTGAGACTGATATCCTACTGCTTATACCTGAGACTGTCGCTGAAGGAGCATCAGCAAGTCCAAGTGAATCTGTGCCGAGTAGACGACCAGAAAACCGAGCTCGATCTCTCGACGATACAGAGTATTATGATGAGGAATATGTTTCTGATAATGGTGACCTGGAAACAGCGGAATCCATAGTGTTTAGACCGCTGTTGCGCAGCAGGAAGCACGGCAGCAGACGTCGTGTGGATAAACACGACCTCTCGCCCAGAAACATCGATCCGTATAGAAAGGTGTTATTCAAACAGTGCCCACCCTGTAGATACCACATACTCTGAGCTACCTCCTATGCAGCGGCCTCGCTGTCGGCAGAAACAGAACAAGGAAAATTTGAAGGAAGAGAAGCGTGAAAATGGAAGTCAGTTGCTGTCGGAATCAACTATGTGCGTTCAGGCACCTCTGAGGTGCATATGGATTCTGTGTTCTTTACGAGATAAATTGTTAAGCAGAGAGGGCTCGTCTTCCCCTCATTTTGGCATGTATCATCCCCAACACCAATCGAGGTCAATTTTGAATTTGAGGGCTGCACTAAACATTGTGGGTGGAATTTAATTTTAGCTCATGTCAATTCACTTTAATTCCTGCTTTACGTGAAACTGAAACCGAAATTTATCTGAACAGGACTTTAAAAGTGTGGAAGGCTCTTTCGGAAGAAGGAATTACACGTCACATGCTAATATAAGTCTTGAATTATTTATAAAAATAAACTTAATTAGTTTAAATGTGTATTGAGATAAGCTGAAAATGTTCTCATGTAGGTCGTGCGGTCGAGTGAATTTGCTGCTGGTAATCGCCAGCACAGTCATTCTTGATACGGACTCCTGTGGGACTCGTGGCCATATTTTAGAGTCTCACGACACTGGTCCTGAGCCGGTCTGTCAGGTAAACTGCTGTAGCACAACAGAGTCGTTCTTGTTACCCGAGTTCCGCGAGACTCATAACCGTATTTTACTGCCTCACGATTCTCAAGTTTGTATGCTCTAGCAAGAAATACACACAATTAGGCCTATAAATTCTGGCGAGTCGAAGCTTCGTTTAATATTTTCGGGAATAGGAGGTTTCGGTAGTAGTTGCCTTGTATTCCGAAGACCACTGTCTGTTTTTGAATGTACAACCTTGGAAATGTAAGAAGAGCGTTACAGTCTTCATTAATTATTCTCAAAACCATAGGGCTTAAGAAAAAATCCGTTCGAAGTGCAGTTTTTGCAAGTTTCTGTGTGTTCGAAGTATTTTCAGCCCCGATATTTAATGATATACGCTCAAGATATGCGCGGAAGCGATGGTAGGTCTTCTAAAGTGTCCCTTACTTTGCATGTCTTTCAATCAGATTTATAGTGAACTCAGAAATTAATTAGACCTCCGCCATATCAAGCTTCATGAAAATCATCTTCGGATCTGAGGTTCTCGCATCGGTAACTGAACAGTTTTATCTTCTGGGATATAGCTCCGTGTAGTCTGTTGAAAATCACCCGAAGTTTAGGAAGAATATATGGACTTCATCTTCAGGATCGAAGAATGAGCAAAGCAAAAACCAACATAAAGTTGTGCTTTCTTCCTACCTCTTGCTGGTTTCTTCGTTCTCTCATTCTTTGATCGTGAATATGGAAGAGATATATTCATCTGAAAATTCGGGGTTTCAACCAAATGCACGGTGTTGTCCCAGAAAACATAGCATTTGGCGAAAATGTGATCAACGGTTCCATAATTGTTTAATGCATACAGGGAGATAGACGGGCGAACGTAATATGCAAACTAGCAACGCATTTGGAAAGTATTCGAAGTCCTGATTTTGAATACATCTTTCCTTAATGTGATGCTTTCCTTGGCGTCTGTATCCATAAATTATGGCTTCATCAAGACATGACCCCTCCACCTTTAGTTCCCCTAAGAAACAGATTCAGCAAGCTATGGTTCGTCCTTGTCCTGATATCAGTAACTGACTTTAGTGAAATATATTTGAGCAGGTCATTTTGACGTCTTGCCTCTAACATTTCCACCAGAGACGCTGTCCTAATTTGTGATATGGGGCCAACACTACCGACATTCAACCCAAGACCCTGAATTCTTGTATGGCAACAGTTTAAGAACTGCGCAGTTTTTATTAAAAATTTTCTTTAAGGAAAGGGAGAAATGTATGGGGGTCATACTTAGTGTTTCTTCGTGATAATAATGACTAATAAATTGTAGGGCTTTCACTCTTTATGTGAATTTAGTTAAGTGGGGGAAGACATAAATATCGAAAAGTAATAAAATTAACTTGGTCATATGATGCATCAGGTGCTTAGTAAGAAGCAGTAATCGTTATAGTTCTCTGTTTGGAATGTGGATATATGCATAATACTTCCTGTTTGCATTTTTCATAAGAATTTGAAAGTATTATCACAGATTATAACAGCCTAAATATTTATGACTAGCGACTGATCGAATGACCGTAATTCGATTCTCGACAAGCGTAAGATTTTTACATTCGTGAGAATTTCCAGACCTGCTGATATATACCCAGAAATACTACGTAATGGGTACTATGAGCTATTTCCCTGAAGATAAAACTCATCACACACTCATCTGAAGTTAAGAATTTGTGAGGTTTTACTTCCGCTGTTTCATCATTCTTTGGTGCTTAGTCACAGGGATAATTTTGTTTTTACTTTAAAAATATGAACAAGCTAAAATAGTTATACTAAGGGGATGTTTGTTAGAGTGGGGCAGTGGCTCTTAACCGGTCTGTTGCGCAAATGTTTTCAAGAAAATAGATATGTATGACAATGAAACTATGTCTTATAAAGAAACAGGATAAGAAAATATGATGCCATTAGATTCTAAAATGTCTTTTATTGAAAATCATTACAAATTACAGTCAAATATACAAGTTCTAAATGATGGTTATAATTTGATAGTAATATATGGCTTTTCAGTTAGTAACTGAGTTGGCTGGGAAGACGGGCGCTTAGCTTATTTAGATAAAAGAGGATTGCCGACAGTCGCAAAAAAAATTGATCAGTCAAAAATAAAACTCTGCAGGGAGTAAATGTGAAACACACGTACGGAGTGACACAAAGGGTGACAGAATTGTGGCAGTCAAAGGTATATTTATATCCTCCAGACTGACTGATTTTATTTTTTACAAATCATTGGTAAGAATATAGGACATAGCTCAAACTGGTGATGTGTATACACTCTGTTATAAGTCACGGACATCTTCGTGGTTTTATCTGTAACTACTTGTATTGATATATTATTTATTTAATTTATTTAAAAAATCTGTTATATATGTAAGAGATATGAAATATTCATAGTGATGAAAATTCAGATTGTGGAGTTCTGGACAATGACACCATCTACTCTGTTAGGTTGTTAACTGTCTCACCTACCACACTACACGGTAGAAAAGCACGACCTGAATCTGTATTATTCCTGCAAAATATTCCACTGTTAACAATTTTATTGTTATAAATATATATGTTGCTTATCAGCTTCATGAGGATATGTGATTGGACTCATTGTATGTTTCACACTTTGCTACAAGGCTCCACTCATTCGTATCAGGCTTGTTGATCTGTGGCGAGCATCTTGTGACTTCGGAACAGAAGAAGGAGATGTTGAAAACTGAGCACGTTTACCGTATGAAGTATTGCTTAATTCTTATTTTCCGAATGTAATATTTGAAAGATACAAGTCATAGTCACATTTTAATTTTGTAACTGCTGCTGATATGAAATCATTCAGTGACTAAGAAAGAGTTCTATGCTGAATTTCCTCATCAGCATAGACCATTTAGCCCTCTCCAATTGCTTGCTGTGTGCCAGGACATTTTAGTCAGTAGCAAGTGGTTGCCTACGGGTTGAATGGCAGAAATTTGGTGTGGTTTGTGGAATAAATTCTAGGATTTTTTTTTTTGAAAATATGAATTGTGTAACAAACAGGTAAGTTGAACTTGGTTTCATTTCGCCGTATAAGAAAAGCTAAATATGAATCAGTTATGGTTCCCTAGAATCCCAGCTGGACATGCCTAATCACTCCATCTATTTAATACATATTTTATTTTAATTATTTGACTCCAACTTAAAGTTTTGGAGAGTATGTTGGCAGTTTGTAAAGAAAACGGGGAACACCATAATAGACATGTAATTCCCCTGAATATATAATGCTGAATTTATGAAGAAATGTTGTAATTTCAAAGGAGATGAGAGTTTATTCCAAGCAGCATGTGTGTATAACGACTTAGAATGCAGTGAAGTTGGTCCATTTTGAAATTGCGTCCCGGCATTCGCCTACAGATATGGGAGAAAAGTAAGGAAAATCTCTGTCAAGACGACCACTAATCTGACTGAGATTCGAACTGTATTCCTCAACGACGCAAGCTAGATAATTGCTGCCGGGTCATATTGGTAGGCAATAATATTTGATTATGTTAGAATACGCATTAATAACGTTTTCTTTCATGAACTAGAACATTCTGGAATTTTGGATTCTGTACTTCTCCATAATATTAACATAAATTAACATTTTTAACACCTGTTAGTCTCTGGCTGGGAAAGCCATCTTCATCATCGGAACATTGTTTATCGCCTGATGATAGTTTCGCGCGTATGAGTCATAGAAATATTGACTAATGGACGCTGAGTGTCAATCTAGATTATACAAGTGACATTTATAATTAGCGCAATTTCTGCAGGAGTGTTTGACAAGAGATCCGGATTACCGTATACCGAATTCTCTCTTTACGTTAAACAAATATTGAAGGCAAATTCTCTTGCGTCTTTTCCGATTCGTGAGTTATATAAATAAGTTTGGACCTTGATAAATTTCCATTTCGCTTCTGCAACTTCTTTGATGCGTACTGAGTGAGAAGTGGGCGTAGATTAACAGGATATTGGAGGAAATTTTCACCGGGTAATACCATTCATCATGAATATATACACCGTAAGTATCCTTGTTTTACATTATTTTTAGAAAGTGAGTATATATTCTGTACGTCAGACATCATAACCAATTGAAGTCACACAGACCAAAAGATTTATAACCTCAGGGAGGGAGAGTCAGTAAATACTTCACAAATGGAAGTAAAACAGCTGTAATGGAAGTAATAGGTTTGCTATGTGTATCGCTAGGTAGCAGCACAGTCCATCTTCATGATGGTTTAGGTATCAGACGTGCTTGCGCATGTTCAGAGGCTGGTTTCAGTAGTCAAAATGGCAGCCGTGTTTGAGGCGTATGCTACCAAAAATCAGGGTTCTGTTATGCGTGTTTTTTTCTTTGGTGAGCAGAATGACTCAGTGCAAAGGATATTCATAAATAAATGTTTCCCATTTACGGTAGGAAGTGTTTGTCGCGTAAAGCGGTTAACCACTTGGTCCAGAAATTCTCTCAAGGACGTTCTAAAGTCAACGTGGTTGAGACAACAGTCAAAAGACTTCTGTGCTTGGGTTTCGTTGCACTGATAAAGCGATAGGACAAGTGTATCAGTGTAGGTGAAGGATATGTCGAGAAATAAATGTTTTTTCCAGGTTCGAATATCACATGTTTTCCGTTGTATCTCCATTTGTGACTTACTTACTGACTGTCCCTCGTATTTTATCATTTTGTTTCCTATTTACCTTTAACTTTAATTATACAGAACATTTGTAATTGTGCTAAATTTGATCCCCAAATACATATTTTCCCTGCAGGTGGTAACAATGTTGTACCTTCTGAATGCTGCATCAGTCCTCTCTTTGCCGACTGTGTTGCCAGAAGCAGATTTGCCCAACACTGGAGTAGAATCAAAGAACATAAATGAACCTGCGCTTCCTAACGCAGGACTACAATCGGAGGAGACAAATGGGCCTGTAGCAGAATCAGACAGCACGGATAAGCCTGTGCTTTTTGTGGGAGCTGTTGGATCAGAGGACGAAGATGAGCCGGTAGTTGTTGATGTCGACGATATACTAGAAGTTGCAGAGATTCTTGTTTTCAGACCTTCTTACAAATATTGGCAAAATTGCATCGAGAGGCGACATAAACAGGCACATCGAGAATATTCCAAACATCAGTAACCTTACCACGCCACATATATTTCGAAGATGATGCGCAAATGTTAACCTCTTGATAACGGTTTTCGGAGATGCAATGCCATGTAGTTAGTTACATATGTACGTAGGTAACGTTCCCACCTCATGACTCAAGGTACGCGGGTTCAAACCCGGCGGAGGTCGTGCAATTTTTAAGGGCGGAAAAATTTAGGGAACAAGTCCTCCAGGAGGGACTTTAAGCCGTGGTCCCGTGTCGTAGCTTTACGGCACGTAAAAGATCCTCATGCCTCTAGGAGACCTCTGAGCAAAATTAGGCAAGTTTCCCGCCCAAGTAGTTTCCAATGCCTCTGGTGGATGGAGGAAGCATCGGGTACCGAGGGCCGACCTCGTTGGCTGAACGGGGCTGATAGCACACACCAGTACCGGTAGGGTATGGCGACTGGTAGAATATCAAAGGGGGACGTACAATAGACTATTAGTCGCGGTGCATGGGGAAACGCACCCCCTCCAATAATAATAATAAAATACATATGTACGTACCTCTCTACCAAACTACACAACACTGCATCCTCCAGCGCCGTTATCTGAACACTCACCGCCACAAGAACCGCAAATCGCAATATTAACCTATCCACGAAACAGGAAACCAGCGTAAGCTTTCTGGAACTAAAACAAGGAACTGATATTTTATATATTTATTGCTTTCGTTTTTGTGCAAACGTGATTTATATATATTAGACTAAATATGTAATTAGTGTGTATTTGTGTTTGTGTCATATGGAACCCATCGGCTACGTTTTTAAATCAAAACGTTTCGGAGACTGAATTCTGTCTCCGACGTCAGATAAAACCTAGTCAGGCAAAATCGAGTTATATCAGGGTCCATAGATGGGGATTAGCTCTATCGATTGGCCCTAACTGATTAGGTTTCACCTGAAAACGAAGACAGAATCCATCTGCTACTTGTTTAGCTGTCTGATGTACAACCGAATTATCCCTGGATGCAATTCCCAAATTGCGTGCTTGGCCCAGTACCTCCGGTCTTCCCAATGTTTTTCTTATTTTCCGACCTTCATTGCTTCCATGTTTATTTACTGTGGGTATAATTGTCAACACAGCTAATTGATAATTACAGCGAGGGACACATCTTTTAGCCCGTCAAGGTCATTCCAACACCCACAACTGATTTGAATGGCTATTCCTTGCTACCTGCCCAACCTACTTGCCTACTTACAAGCAGGATCTCAGGGAAAAGAGAAAAAAGTAGTCGGGCGGTAAAATTAGAAGTTCTCACGATAGTTATGAAAGGTTATGTTATACGGAATATAATGCCGTGTAGCCTTTTGAATGTCAATCGATTCAGGGTAGAAGAACAAACCAAACAAGAACCCAGAATGAAAGAAGCAGCAAGCTGATGTCTGGCTTTGCCTCTGCTTCCTACCCTCTCGTTGCTTGATTAGCATATTTTTCGACCCTGAAAATGGAGGCGCTCCTAAACGTCATTCGATTTTCAACGAATTTCACCGCGTTGTATCCCAGAAGAAAGCTCATCGGTTGATAACCTCGACCGGGTAAAAGAAGTGGCAGTTCAGTTTCTCACAAGGCGATTCTTAAGTTGTTTAACGACGTTGCTTCAACTATATGCGCCATATAACAGATAACGAAATGGGTATAAGACCATGCCTGATGAACAAGCAGTGATTTGGAGGGAGGCGGTCGTATCCTATTTAAAGTTACCTTCATCTAATTTCTTTGGAGATACTCAAAGACACTACGAAAAACATCGATTCGTTTGCTCGGTAATGTGGCCGACATTTAGTCCGAGTGCTTCCAGAGGAAAGCCTCGGCCGTTGTCACTCCATTACCAGCCTAAGCTCCCTTTCCTGACGAAGGTAATACTCAGCAGGGACATTACACTTGATATACACATACATTTGTTTTCGTCTATTTTGTTACATAAAGAAGGCTTAAAAATACTGGGTAATAATGGCATCTGTATCATGAATATGTACTTGGAGATGGAAGTAGAATATTCCTTCGAAAAGTTAGTACCGGACTACATGGTTCAAATCCCATAAATAAACATTTATCATGTAAGAATCGTTTGTACAGTAAACCAATCTGTTTATGAATTATATAAAGTCTGATTTTAACATAGAGCCCACAAATGCGACGAAACGTAGGGCGTCCACGTTTAAGATGGAGGGACCGACATATTTTTCAAGAGGACGGAGCAGACAATGCATGGCATAATCCATGAAGGAGAACGGGGGAAAGGAAGAAGAAACAGAAGATAAAATCTGATATTTGTGTTCTTTAAAGTAGAGATTGTATTTAATAGATGAGGAACAAAATTAATCAGACCAGCAACTTCTAGGGTCAAGTCAGAAATGCTAAATGTAATTGAAATCCATTCACTACTTTTGAACATTAGGAATGCGGGTATACAAATATAATACATTTCCTAACGTTTTACAGAGGCTTTTCTGAACTTTGTTCTCAGGGACTTTGTCGTTCAGCCTCACGCTCTAAGTTCCTTTCCAGTAACGGCACGTTTGTTATCATGTGTCGATTTATGTTTAGGCTCCTTAACGTCCCTATTCCAACTACAGAGGTTATACAGAGCGCCCCAGAAGAAAAGATGAGTATTCTGGGAGGTCACAATAATCGTCATTCTGAGCAACAAATTGAACATGTGCACGTGTCCTATTCCGAACCGTTTCCGAGATAGAGCGATTTCACTGTACAGTACATTGTACACTGTACACTGTACAGACGAGCAATACGCCGTGTCCTCACACGAGTTGCAAAGTTCATTAATATTGACAGTGGAATTTTCGGAAATGTACTGTACTAGGTAAACTGTACAAACTTTGTTGCTTGAACAAAAAATACCGGTATTAGAAACACATGAAATAAGAAAACGGAAGGCTAATTGGATTGGTCATGTTTTACGCAGAAACTGCCTTCTAAAAGAAGCTATCGAAGGAAAGATAGATGGGCGGATAGAAGTGACAAGAAGACGAGGAAGAAGACGTAAGAAGATGCTGGATGACCTTGGGGACAGAAGAGGATACTGTCATTTGAAGGAGAAAGCTCTAGATCGCATTAAGTGGAGGAATTGTTTTGAAAGAGACTGTGGACCTGTCGTCTTGACAGATTACTGATGATGATGATGATTAGAAACAGTACGTAATATCTCTCTTATCAACAGTTTTGGAACTGTACAGTGAAATAGCTCTATCTCTGAAACAGTTCGGAATGGGACACATGTACATACGCACTTTTTTGCTTAGAATGACCGATACTGTGACCTCCAAGAATATTGACGTTTCCTCCTGGTACACACCTTATAGAGTCTAGCGATATAGAAAGACAGTAGTGAATAGTGATCAGGCAGGGTTTTGGAAGGTGGCTACCGTTCCTTACTTCGCCGTTGTTCGCCGTCATATTGTGGCCTTCTGTTATGGAGATAGCAGGTCACATAAAATCTCAGGCAAGCAGGTAACCCGGTCTACCTCTCGGATATAAGTCTACAGCTTTACTTCTACATCAGTCTGATCGGTTATATTAAATTAAGAGACAAGAGATTTGGGGGCTAGCCGATCACAGTGGCCGCAAAGTCTAAGGCATGAATTGTCTTCGTCCGCTCAAACAATGGGGTCATGGGTTCAAATCTCGTTCGAGGCATGGATGTGTGTTTGCGTTTATTCTGTGTCTGTGCTGTACTGTGTGTATGTATCGGCGTAGCGACGGGCTGATTCCCCATCCAAGGAATCCTACCGACTGTGCATAGAATTTCGAAACTGGAAAAGCGGCCAGGGTCCAACAAGGACTGTAGAGCAATTGAAGAATGAATGAGTGTGGGTGGGAGTGGTTCAGTGGAGAGAGAGCTGATATGTGAGAGACATAGATTGGTTACAATTTTTAATTATTTGCAGTTTGTTTAATGAAGTTGTCAGTAACGCAAGCTTTATAGCGTCGAATGATAAGGTAAGCATCAAAAGGACTTGCCACAGTTCAAGAGGGTTAATCGCCAGCTTTCAATTGTGGAGGTCAGGGTTCGATCCCATGTCAGTTCATGTAATATTTGTACTGGAAGAAGTGGCACTGGGGCGACTGCGATTTCTCATTCCATTATCTGCCCTACATTCATATTCAGCATTTCAGCCGACGCTGTGTAGTCTCGATACTGACAGCGTCACTAAAATGACGAAGTAAAAATGGCGTTAGAACAGGAATGACGTATATCCGAGTGGAGGCACATATCCAATCTCTCTTATCTTGCGTCATTAGATGGAAATGAGTGATCAGCTGCACGCTCATGGTGCAATGATTGGTGAATACGAATCCGAAAGAGATATGCAATAAAGCGACTAGCCTGACTTAAGATACTGTCACCTAGTATGTGTGACTATAGACAGGATTTTGGATAACTGGATTTATTGACCACTTACACGTCGTAACTACAAATAACTGTAACTCTGTCACTAATTCTCACACTTTGCAACCCAGTCCGGCATAACATAAATCGTTTTCAGCTTGCAGTGTCTTCCGTAGACGTTTCCTGGCAACGGCTTCTAACAATGGCTATTCCTCTGCTTCCTTGCTGAAGTCCTCCTTGCTTCAATTGTCTTCCTTATAAGCCCTTTGCACGGAGAGTAGTAACACCTTTTTCAACAGTACTTCTATACGCTTGTCGATTCGAAGCTGCGGGAAGGTGTTTACGGAGCCGTTGTCTAGAAACGGCTCTGGAATTTGCATAGAAACAGCTCTACACGCTACAGTATTATCCCAGCTATGACTGGAGGAACTGAGAAAAAAAATTCAAATCCTGTGTCGTTATATTATATCTATTGGCTAGGATTTGAACCCAGGATCTCCCGAATACGAAGCAGAAGTGCTACTCACTTAACCTCGACATTCGAGAGGTTCATTAAAGTTATAAACTTTCGACCTGATCTGTTTACAGATATGATTTATCTAATGTATGTATTGTTTCTAATGTTATTATAATTCACTCGGCTAAGAAGTAACAGTATTTGTATCTCTGAACTTGGGTTTTAGAATGGAAGATATTAAGTCCAAACTTAAAATCTTATATCTCCTATAAATATCTGAAATAACATTCCTTCAGTAAGTTGTATAAAATATTAGTTATAACCCCTGCCTTATATTTTCTGGGGGTACGCCGTTAAACACAGCAAAATTAGCTGCATTCTCATAATGAATGAATCACTGCTGCAATGGCTTCATCGTCAGTACAATGGGAGCTTCTTAAAATTAGACAAGTGACCACTAAAATTAACACAACTAGTAAGGGAGCTCTGTAAAATGTGCACTCGTAAGAGTTTTCAGAGAATCATCTGATATCACTTCCTGTGTATGTGAGAATTACTGACACTTCCGAAAACCACATCCTTACACAATTAGAGGCAACTACTCATATTGTCCGTGTCATTAGTCTTATAAATATGATCAGTCCACTGTTGTGGGTTCAGTTCTTCTCAGTGACTGGTCTCAAGCACAAGAAACTGATCAGCATAACATCCGTGAAGATTTGAAAAATCCTCAGAACACTTGAAGAGATAACACAAGATGAATACTTACACGGTGAGTATATCAAGTATTGTATTCGAATATTTGCAATTAAAATAATCAATAGCAGTGTAAAAGTGTATATTGGAGACTATGAACATTTTCCCTGTGCCTTATTTGTGATTCTGAGTACTTTTCTTTGAGCTGCTTTCACGGCTCTCTCAATATATAGGCCACATGATAGCGAGTGGTAGGACTATTTATGAATTGGAAAGGATTTGGAAGGAAGACAGTCATAGCCCAATCGAAGTACTATCCTGGCATTTGCCTGCGGGGACTAAGAAACCCCACGAAATACCTCACTCAGGATAGACTATGTCCCAGCTGAATTCGAAGCACTTCTTGAATACCTAGAGAGTGACTGCTGTGCCATTCTGCTCGCTGATTTTGCATACCTCAGTTGGTTTTTTGTTAAATAATTAGAGATACAAATCCATGTTTCAGAGTTAATAACACGTATATAAACTATATACGATCATAGATTATTTTTGTACCTAGTTAAATACACTTACATCATGTGGGAAAAATTGTCGAACAGAAGTTACGTATTTTAATGAGGTCTGTGCCCTGCGTTTAAAATTGTTCTTTGTACACTGTCGATCATCTCTTTTAGTCCTGAGAACCACTGCATTTCGGAAACTTGTAACTAAATTGAATTATGAGATTTCTTAAAGGTCATGATCGTGATTTTTATATTAATAGTACAAGCATTACAATGCTAGTTTTTCAAGATGCAAGGATTCAATTTAAATGTTTACGATCATTTCACGAAAGTAAACAAATAGTGACGTGCGAAATAAATTCCATTTGTATGCGCCCTTGACGGTGCTGTTGTTTTTCGTCGTAAGTCAAGTGCAAGTTAAAAGTGTCCACAATCCAGAAGCTTTTCTCGTTGGATGCATACTTCTGTGGAGATGCATACTTCTGTGGAGATGCATACTTCTGTGGAGATGCATGAGAAGAATAGAAAAAATTGATATTTTGAAAATATTAGGCTCTATTAGAAAAGTACGAAAGAATTGCCAAAGTTTCCTACGCTATTATTACTAATACTACAAGCTTTTTCTTTGAGTTGTAGTTTTTATTTCTGTCCTAGAAGTTTCTATTAAACTTTTAAATGTACGTATCAAGAGATGAGACATAGGTCTGCTGACGTTGTCGTACTATGTATTGATTCAGTTCTAGAAAGCTGCATTTTAAGAACTCTTTCTCATTATTATAATTGTAATACTAAAGTTTTTATATTGATATTTCTTTTTGCATATGATAAGTAGGGATAATTGCTAGGAATTTACTTGTGAATTTATAAATTATTAAAAACGATTCAAATTTCAGGAGAAACTAATAAATAAACTTCGGCGGATAGATGACCACCAGGTCTAAAATATTGGAAGGAACATCTGCTCATATATTCAGGAATTTTAACTTTAGGTAAACATTTTACCGCGTAACAATGACAAGATACATATCATTAAGACAGACTATATAAAATTTATTTACGAGTACATAATTTTGACCCAGTAAGCGGAAGTTACATTTGAGAATTTAACAGCGGTATCAGCAGTACATTGTCATCCAGAATGTGACGCCATATAGTGTGGTAGAAAGGTACCAAATTATCGGTGAAACCTGCTGTATCCAAGTTTTACTCTGAAAAACGGAGCAGGATGTTCGTCCGAAACGTTAGTACCTACAATATAAGGCATCACATCCCGATGACGGTAATTTTAAGGGAAGACAAGTTGTTGAAATTGTAACACGAGCATTCCAGTCGGAAGTAGGTAATAACATTTTAATAATAAAGCCAAATGACATACGTAGACTGCAGGCAAGAAAATAAGATTTGTATGATAAGATATAGGTAGGACATTGCGTAATAGATAACTGAGGTGTCCTACAGGGCATCATGTGCCTCCCTCTAAGTCATACTGTTTCTCTCTGTTCAGTTGGTAGGACTATTTTGCCTTGTGCTGGCAACGTCAATCTCCTCTCTGCCAACCATGTCGCCCGCTGAGTCTGCTAGCCTCGCATCTACAGAGGTAGCCGAACATGAGTACATCCACCTCTCAACAGAAGTACCCAGCGCGGGAGATGAACCAAGTACCACTGAAGATGCTGACGAACCAGTACCATCTGACAAAGACGACATGGAAACAGCGGAGGTCGTTGTGTTCAGACCACTGTTTAGTTATAAACGGGTTGAGGCAGAGCGGCGTCGCAAGCTCAATCAGGCTCGCCGGCGGCCTCTATATTATCCGTATTATCCATATTATCCATACCGACATTAAAAATTATCTCTAGAATCGCCGACATAATGAACCCATTTCGCACTCACAATATTTAAATAACTTTCTTTGGGCATTTAATCTTCAGCATACTCAGATGGTGCAAAATACGCTACACAATATTTCTCATACTCATCACAAGCTTGAGAAACAGGAATATTTCTGTATTTCACATAAATTCATATTCACTCGAAGTACTGAGCAGTATTATCATCAAGGATGAGATGCCTTTAGTCCGACAGTTCAACGAAGTTTCGGAGGTTTGTTGGATACATCTTTGGAATCGGAAAGTTAATCGACCAAGCTCTCAATCTGCATAGTTTCGCACCCCAGAAGATAATAATCTTCATAATCATCTCTGTGATAACCTGAAGTCCAGCACTTGAAGTATTATTTGAGACTACCTTCTACATATAGAAATGCAGTTCAAACACTACTAGTTTAGAAAGAAACGCAGTTTCTATGTCAGTATTCCTATAAGTTATATTTATGCCTAAGTTATAAAGTTTGTATGGGCCTAAAGGCAGTTTTCTGTTTAATTTAATTTCTGGTATTGACAGTTATTTTTTTTTTCACTAAGGCTATTACATATAGAGCTTGAGAGTACTATGAAATAAAATTTTTCAATTTGTTAGTATTTGATAAGAAAGGCTTAAATCAAATTTCCTCAATTTTGGCTTCTCTCAACATATATGTACATTTTTTCATCGCCATATTAAAGGCTATAAGTCTAGGTCTTCTACACTGGAAATCAGAAGCGAATCACGGTATATATACATGGCATTCCTTTGGCATAAGTACCTTGTAATCAGTTATGCCTTTCAATAGTTACTCTTGACATAAGCCCTTCTTACCAAGCACAAAGAATTACCTCCCCAAAAGTACATGTTCCGTTGTTGTACTGAAACAACTTACAGCAGCTTCAGAGGTGACAAAAGACACGTCTACGCCGAATCTCTTATTTGTGCACTGTAAATATGCACACAAGTCATTCTAGCCCTGTCAGTGAACAGTACACAAGTTCTAGCCACTGAGGTAATGGTCTGTTTGTTCCAGAAATTATTTAGGAACATTTAGCAAAAATCCGTGAGGTCACATTATCTTTTGTCATTCCAGCTATTATCCCTAATTTAGTGTGTAATAACTACACTCTGCAAGAGATGTTTAGTGACAGTCAGATCCTCTTATAGTGGAAGAATGGTTATGAATTTTAGTGAAAGTAGACAATATAGCTGACAACTTCGAATTAAGTTCTAAAATATTTTTGGATACGTGTCAGTAAGTGTCAAGATGCTATCAAGAGTGAATCTCATGCTCATAAGAATAACTACCGACTTCTCAGAAATATCTGTACAATGAAGTCAATTGGTCAGTCAGTCTGTCGGTGACTTGCGGTTCGTACCATACACAGCCCAGTGAATTGCAGCCAGTTAATCGTAATACCATGACAAATATATTAATAATTACATACGGGTGATTGTAAGGAGTGTCCTAACTTCATATTAGGAAATATTTTATTTCCAGTTAACCGTAACTTAATTTAATGAAATATCATAAATAATCTGCTCTTGAAGTTAAGTAGTCTAGTAAGAATATTGTATTTCAAAACTACGATTATGAAGCTGTGACACGTAACAGAACCAGCACGTATGACTTGTGATAATAGAACGTATTCCAGAGTTAGTGATTTAATACAAAGCCAAGGTTTCGAAAAAACAAGCAGGTTAATTCTGTGGTATGTTTGTGAAAAAATGGTTGTGTCGAAAAACGTTGCAGTTACTCATAATTATAACACAACGATTTAAGGCAGTCATTAAATTTTAAATATTTCGGTTCAAACTTCATATTGTTTAAAACATTATAGGTTACCGGGATAATGTGACGACTAGCATTTTGCTTCAAATAAATTTCAGCGTTCATGAAGAAAACATTTGCTTTCTGCTTCTATTCATGTGACGAAACTATAATTTTTGCTCCAATGAAATTGTAATGGATACTATTGAATTAATTTATAATATTACAATATAAATCAACATATTATGTAATTAAATATTTTGTACTTTTGTTTCAGAATGTTTTGTATGACAAAATAAAGATTACTTGTAAAAATAATTTTAAAATCTTAGTTTTTATAATATACTTATCCTGCCTATTTTACAAATTATGATCATTTTTAAATTCAGTGACCAATCTCAGTGCCTTGTTCCGTTCCTTAGAAAACTTTCTTGATCACTACATACTGAACAAGATGGATATTACCATTTAATTATATCTAATTTATTTCCTTATTTATTACCAAGATGGTCTTGTATGAGAGATGTCACCCATCTTCAACAAAGGGAAATAAACTTGATACAATTAGACGTTAATTTATATTCTCTTTTATTATTGATATATAGGACAAAATAATCTTACGAAAATATATCAACTCCATCATTTTATAGGTCTTCCGACATTTTCCTCTGGACCGCAATTGAAAATTAAGTATTAACCTACAGGCCGGCAGCGCCATAGCTCAAGCGGTTAGTCGCTGGATTCCCACAGCGGCGGTCCGGGTTCGAGCCCATGTCTGGTCAAGTGGGATTTGTGGTGGACAAAGTGGCGCTGGGACAGGTTTTCTCCGAGTACTTCGGTTTCCCCTGTCAATCTTTATTCCACCAATTGCTCCACAATCACCCTCACCTATCATCTGGGGCTGGTACATAGGCCAGAAGTGGCCGCAGTACAAGGGACTTAGTCCCACCCCACTAGCATTAAGAAAATATAAAAAAACTACAGGGTTCTTCTTCTTCTTCTTCCAACATCTAAACATATTCCCGTCATTTTTTCTGTAGCTTGATATCATTAATGTGTTAATTACACACTGTCCGCATTGCGACTTATTTGTCAGGAATTTGTTTGTATTTACGTCGTATAAATAAGCTTCAACGTCAGTGAAGTGATCAGAATATGAAACATCATCTACGCTAAATTATAGTAAAGCTTTCCTGTTTTCCATCCTGCTTTCCTCTTTGCATTCATTAGCTCCTCTGCTCAGTGCAGCTGAGTATCGGTCCAAAGGTAGAAACAGTCAAGACTCTAGATTCTGATAATTTGCTGGCGATAGATGAGTACTGGCATAGTTGTGATAACTGAAACCGAGGATACTCGGAGAAATGCTATTAACCTCTCCCTCAGTCTTGAGTTCGATACTGCAGATGTTGTGCGTCTTGTTGACTCCGTGTTAGATATCTGTGTAATATTGGCAGAGCCGTGACTAGATAGGTAAAGCTATCCCTGTAACAGGCCGTGGAGGCGCATATGGTTGTGAGACGTCGAGGCTCCCACATTTTCTAGACAATCAGCTCAGAGCTGGCGGTGAGGTTGTCAGTTTAGCGCCGGCCGCCTCTTACTCTCATGAATATTCCTGGTACTCATTTCTTTTAGAGACTGAGTCGAGCCCAGTACCATAGTGCGGCTGGAAGGATTAGGTCAATTGAAAGATCCAATGGACTGCCGGATAGAAACCGAAAATTTATCAGATTATGAGAACAGAAAATATCGAGTAAAGTACTAAACCAAGTGTAATTATGAATATTAAGAAGACTACTGTTTCCGGGAAGTGAGGTCATGTGGTTTCATGTACGGGTACCAATGTTTCTGAGAAACCTACGCACCGAAGATACGGCATCACATCCCACGTGACAGTCATTTTTCATAGTCACCGCTGAGAGAACCTCAAATGCACGTAATAGTTACTTTGCGGCATTAACATTAGTATGTTCTAATTTAAATATTATTCTTGATAACCCAGTCGGCTGTCCCACTTGGATTTCATTCTGTGCGAGGAAAGAAATGTTGTTCTTCGCCACACAACGTCAAAAATGTCTCTGGTACCCTCCTAGCCTCCTGTCCACTGGGCAGCCGGGGCTCTTTTCCCAGCGCCTATGCGGCAAAGATGAGATACTGATAACCCATCTCGGTCTACTTGAAATACATGGAGCCATACCTCCACTCGTCCAGATGCCTGTCATTAATTCCCTGTATTCATGACAGGTACTGACGTATCACTGAATTTCACAGAACTCAGGTATGAAACATTAGTGCTTACTTTTCGTTTGCTTATATAAATATTTGTGTCAACTGCAGTAGCAAAGAAAATACAAATAACTTTCGTCTCGGCAATAAATACTGCGTTCTACTTGAACAAGTCACAATGTTCGCAATAAAAGCAAATTTTTCTATGTAAACCGGATTTTTCCACACGTTCACACTTGATACTAAGGAAAACATTTATTGAATAAAACTTCCACATTTTTTTCCTTCGGAAAACTAGTACCCTACATTGAGTGCGTAGTGATCCTTCGCGTGTTTCAGACCCGCGTTCGACGCCAAATAATCTGGAAATTTCTCCAAGAATTTTCTAACACACGTAACTTAAACAAATATTTTCAGATGCGCATACGTAGTTCCTCGCACACTCAGTCATTGCGTAAGTTTAGAAAATTTCTAACAAGTCTTGTAAGAGAGGGAATATTATGAAACGTAGAGGAAAGAAAGAAGGTGTTATATAATAATAACGGCAATAATAATAATAATAATAATAATATCTCTCAGGTCACGTGTTCTGCTAATTCTAAACCGCTACAGGACAGAGTACTAACCTACTTCAATATAGATTTCACCGCTCAGACCATAGGTTCACCGACCAAGTTGGTCTAGCGGTAATATTCGAGAGGAGTTCGGTTCGAATCTCGACCGAATCTTCGGATATACCGACTTAGGACCACTTCTTCACAAATCGTTTGCTTTCATCAATCATCCAAACATTCACCTAACGTGTATCATTATTTTTGACAGCATCTTAAATAACAAACAAAAACATACATTTGTAAAGTAAGTTTAGTGTTATTTCTCCGTCTTTTCTATCTTCCAAATGTGTGTTCTAACTTCTGTCCCAGTCAAGCCTATCATAAACGCATTGATTTTGCTAGCGCCGCAGTAGATAGATATATTAAATGGTATATACAAAATTTCAAGGTCCGTCATAATATTATATTGTAGCATCCTGGTCACTTTTTACTTAGTGTCGATTAGTTTTTTTTCAGTCTCACATGCAACACTATGTTCTATAAAATTTATTAAATATATTCACTTTAAAAGTTTAGAAGTCCGTCACTACACGTTTCGACCAACGTGGCCATCATTAGGTGTGAATAACTTTTAATGAATTTTATAGAACATAGTGTTGCACGTGAGACTGCAAAAAAACTAATTGACACTTCAACGTCTGCCGTTATATAACCCATTCCGAGATTATTAATTTTGTTTCTAGACATATCCTTGAATATTGCGTCAGAAATTGCTTTTCCGTTTATTCTTATCTTTGGTTAAGACTGCGTATCATATTCATATAAAGTAAATGGCAGCGAGTCTGTTTATTTTTAAACTGTGATAAGCTCGAGACTGAATAATGATAATAGGGTTACAAGCTGTTGCATGTAATATTGCCGAAGCACTTACGAAAACAGATAAATTCACTTGGAATTGATGATATGCTACTATTTAGTCAAAAATATGTCTTGATTTTTATGCCTGCCACACAGTGTGAAGATAAAATTCAGCCAAATAAAACCAACCCGAGGAGAAATGTACGAATAATAATAATTTGAACCTTTCTCCTGACCAAGACGTATGCCGAATGTCGTAAAGAGCCCTAGTTTCAGAACTCGTTCTGAATTGGGAACAGGCAAAGACCCTAATCCATGAGAACCGAAGAAGTTAAGCGGCGTCGAAGTAAATATTTACTTACAGAACAAGAAACTGAACACACAAAACCGCAGATAAAATTCTGGCGCATACAATAAAGGCAGCACACTTACTGAACTGCAATGAAGCGACCAAGATATCCAGGCTTGCACTTCGGACTTCTAGAAGCTTTGTCACAATGTCGATTGTATCACAGGAACATGTGTTGTTTCGAAGAAGTACCGCGTAAATTGATCTAAACATTTCGCATCCCCCTGCAACTACCAGCATGTGAACTCGTCGAAGGTCTCTCTAGAGACAATGAAAGAAAAAAATATGACTTCATCTTATTAGCGTCTCCCGGACCAACCTCCGACACACTTTTGGTTTCGTGTTATAAATAGACATGTATCTTGTTGGCAAACTAAAATGTTGCTTTTGTGGCTGATATTGTCGGCACTGTCCATGAGATGGAAGTTTTAGCAGCACACCTTTCCGAAAATTGTTTCAATTTCCTATTTCAGGTGGCAGGATAAGGTTAGGTATCCTATTTTGTCGGGCTCCTTGGTAGAGCAAGTCTCAAATCTGTATTTCAGATTAGCTGTACCAAGGGCCCGAACAAAGCAGTATTCCTTAAGTTAACCTTTCAGCTGAAGAAGGAAACAGGAGCAATTTCCTAAACACTGTACTTTGAAAAAAGACGGTGAAGTGGAATATTTTGGGAGTTTGAGAACAGGGCTCTGAGGGGAATATTTGGACAGGAGAGGGAAGAAGGAGGAGAAGGGAACGGATGACATAATGGGAAGCATGCAAAATTTCAGCAAAAAATCTCCATGGAAAGAAAATAATTAAGAGATCCGGGTTTAGATCTGAGAATAATATTAAAATAGGTCTAAAAGAAATAGAGCGTAAATGTATGCCCTGGATTCAACTGGCTCGCGATTGGCTTGTAAAAGCGGTAATGAATCTTCTGGCTTCATGAAGAGCGAAGTTTTCTTGATCAGTTGGGGCGAATATCTGCTTCTTGCAAAGGTCCTTGCTCCATGGAATTAGATAAATCTCCGGTGTATATTTCCCATTTACTTACCTCAGTAAGGAATGCAGTCGTCGAATTGTCTCGCCTAGGTTCAGTGTTAATATTTGCTTTTTCGTACTATGTGTAGACAACCCTAGTCTATTCCACAAATTAGCGATTTTTTTAAGCTTGAAACTGGAGGTCTGTCTCTTAGTCATCGTCCTTACTTAGTTATTTAAGTTCTACAAACTGGACGTTAAAATTGGTTAAAACCGTCCTACATTTTGGAAGGTATTTCAGGGATGGCCTTCAGGACTTAACAAATATTAAAGTCATTCCATATTAATATGCATTTGAATTGTGACAAAGGTTAATATAATATATAATTTATATATATTTGAAGGGTTCACTCCAAGAACAATTAAATGAAGTGTATACGAGTTATTGAAAAAAAAATCTGTACACCCTCCATGTTGCTACTACTATTCTAGATTAACTGAACAAATGTTTCTGCTTATGTGATCAACAATTAGCACTTGCTTGATCAGATGTTCTTGAAATACGTGTCTTGGATTGCGACAGACTTCATGGAAGTGTTAATGTGTTATATAGTACTAATTTAAGACGTGAGAATGCTGAGTATAAATACGAGAAGGTAAGCCAGGTGGACATCAGAGCTCAGTTGCAAGCGGACTGCGTCTAAGAGAAGCAGAGAAACTCCAGTAGCAGCTAAGAGTCCAGAGTATTCAGAAGTAAAGTCGCCTACCAGAATCTGAACTTTCGACAGCCAACAAACATGAGTAAATACTCAGTAAGTATATGTGTCATTATACGATACGTTGTGAATGCTTTCATCCTTCTAACTTGCCAATTAAATGCATCTAGAAAAGTACAGGATTTTCTAAATTTATATAAATTTTGCCTCTGACTTTAATGATCCTACAATGTAGTTTACGGGGCATGTTATAAATAATATTCAATAAACACAGAGAATTTGTTCTTGAAATAATCTTCCGGAAATTCATTCAGTTTCCCTTCAGTTATAATTTTTACATACGATACGAGTTCGTATAAAAAGATAATTTCATTATCTTAATAGAATTGGTACCTTTATAAATAATATTTTTGAAGTTAAAATTTCAGAAAAAAATATTTAATCCGATTTAAAGGTTTGAATTTACAGACTGTGACGATATAGAACTTCATTTTGTGTGCTTAATACATAATGCTCATTCTTGGAAAATATTTTGATCGTTTAATTGCTCAAAATTGTACAAATTATGAACTGCTTACATATGTAAAAATCCTTCCGCGTTGATAAAACTCTTATGGAAGTCAAAACAAGCTATGCTGCAGCAATTCGTGGCGGATTTACCTGACGTATTCTAACTGTATATGTTACGATCAGTTCAATGCCACGCTACAGTGTAATTCAATTAGCCCCGCAGTCCCTCGCCATACACACATTCTTCTTTGATATTTTGGGGGAGGAAGCGGTAATAGAAATTAATTTTGGTTTCACACACAGTACTTAGCAGACTTTTGTTATCAGATACTGCGATAATTGACGTGCAACGCTCTCTGACTATCAGAGGTCATCTCCCATATCCTTTCATTCATAGCAATTAAAAAAAATAGAAAAATATATTGCATTTAGTCATGTTTATTGCTTGAGGGATGCGAAAATTCACGTTCTGATGACTGTTAATTAAGAAAATTGAAGTTTAATGCAGGGTTTTGTTATAGGCCTCTAGTTATTTGTAACTGTAAAATATTAAATTACTCACATTACTGTAGTGGGAAAAGTTGTGATTAGTTACGTTGTTCAGAACTTCAGTGAGTGGTGCCCTTACCACGTTAGGATTAAGTGACCGACTTCCTGATATGTAAGATGACTTCAGATGTATTGAATATGAAATCGTGAACAGCCGTCGAGGAGCGGTTTGTTTGGTACGCTCGTCTGTGATGTTACTAACAACCTGTTCTCTTTCCCAGGTTATCATTGTCCTGACGCTGGTCTGTAGCGGCCTCGCGTTGCCTGCTCCCCTGCCCAACACCGAACGGATGGCCACAGCGGAATCCCTACAGAGGGAAGGAACTCACAACAAAGTCATGGGGGACAATATTCCTGAGGAAGACAAAATCGACGTTCTCGTTGAAGTTCTGAGACTGCCCCAACGTTCTCCATCTGCCAGAAATTACAGAGCAGTTAAGTCTGCGCCAGAAGAAACCAAAACATTCTCTCCAGAACCTACGGCTACAGAAGAAACCGCGTTAGCAGACGATATTACTAACGGGAAGAAAGCAGTTGTTATGGTTGAATTCCTCAGAACATCAGATAAGAGTAAGCCCACCGTCAGGAAACAGCGTTCTGAGGAACAAGAAACAACCACCGTCAGTGACGTTTCTACAGCAACCGAAACTTCTGACAAGGTCACTGAAAAGGCTGCAGACCCTTCCGCCGACGTAAAGAGGGAGGCCGATAGTTTTGACTATTACCACAGTTTACATGATGATGATGATAAGGAAGATGACATGGCAGTGGCTGAAACTATTATCTTTAGACCACTCTTCAGCTACAGACAGGACACAGCTGCAAGACGAAGATCCTTCAGAGACGTTTCGGCAATCCATCCTGTATACGAGGACTATTACTAACTGCCAGCCGTTTTCATGGGATAGTGTCATGCTCATTTACTTCTCTCAATCATATTGACAAGACATGATTTTTTTACTGACTGGATTTTATACCGTTATTTATTTTTGTACTACCACTTATTTTATATTATTAGATTGAGCAATAAAGTTACATTTTTTTCTATAAACTAAATTAGAATTTATTTTTATTAATCAAGTCGCTAAATAATTTCGCCAAAATCCAACCAAACCTAAACTGAAACACATTATATTGGAATTATGACCTTCTGTGGACTCCATATTTTAACCTATTTGATGTACATTAACGTTTCGAAGAATATATTGCCTCAATCTTCATGGTAATTTAGGCAAGTCTGCCATGAAGCTGGAGACATTAATTCCATCTGAGACGTTAGTACCTACTTATCAGACAGCCAAAAAATCAACAATATGGTGGCATAACCCGGAAGACAATATAGGTATTCACTGTTGTGATATCTTAAAACCTGTTTCTGAATGATGAATTCATCAGAAAGCGACCATCTTTGCTGGTCGTGGTGTCATTTATTAAGAAACACATTTCCTTTCTAAATAACCTTACGTTTCTATTACGTAAGTTACCGTTCTTGTGTATTCTTTACCCATATCTTTATTGTGTGAAGTGCTTCACATTTCCACTTCATTACACTTATCCTTCACACGCACTTTTACCATTTCCTATTCATATCTGAATACCATTAGCTCTTTTTTTGTATATTGCATGAAGTGAGTAAGCCTGTACTGAACGGGAATATTATAGAAGTGTTAGACGAAGTAATGGTGGAAATAAGGAAATAAAGACTTTTATCTCAAAAGAGTAATATAAAGCATATCTATACAGATGCCAATATGTAAATATTGAACACTGGAGCAGGAAGGTGTAACAACAGTCTTGAACGTGCTGACGTAAGGGGTGAATCTGTATAGTGCTAAAAAGACAGTAAAAAGTAAAAAAGTAAAGCTATCCCTATAACAGGCCGTGAAGGCCCATAGGGTTGTGAGACGTTGAGGGTCCCACATTATCTAGACAATCGGCTCATAGATGTCGGTGAAGCTGTCAGCCTTACGCGCCGGCCTAACTAAAGCTATCCCTGTAACAGGCCGTGAAGGCCCATAGGGTTGTGAAATGTTGAGTCCCCCACATTATCTAGACAATCGGCTCAAAGATGGCGGTAAGGTTGCCAGCCTTACGCGCCGGCCGAGCTTTAGCCCCGAGGAAAATTATTTAATTATTTCCTGGTACTCATTACTGTTAGAGGCTGAGTCGACCCGAGGGTCATAGTGCGGCGGGAAGGATTGGGTCAATTGAAAAAAAAATTCAGTGACCTCATCGGGACTTGAACCCGCGACCTTCCGGCTTGTAGCATAGTGCCTCAACCAACTAGGCTATAGTTGTAGCATAGTTTTCCAAGAAGAAAATGTTCCCATTCACACAGCTGGAACTGTTCAGTCATGGTTTAAAGAGCATGAAAGTGAGCTTCAGCATCTTCCCTGGTCAGCACAATCACCAGATTTGAACATCATGTAATCATTGAACCACTCTGGTCAATTTTGGAAACTAGAGTGGGTGCGGATCCTCACTTCCAACATCTCTAAAACAACTTGAAGATGATTATCAAGAAGAGTGGTATAAATTTCCGCTAGAGACTGTTCTGAACTAGTACGAGTCCATTCGAAGAAGGGCTGCGCTATATTCAAGGCAAAAGGTGGTCCAACGCCAAATTAATCAAGAAATGTATGCAGTATCTGTAACATTTCCACTATTCAGTCCAACTCCTGCATTTTATTTGACTCTTTGTGACATTTTCCCTTTATACGTTTTCCCCCGACGATATATATCTGTAGTTTCAACTGAAGAAAATGCGTGTAGAGTCGAATAGCATTAGACTTTCGATGGAGGGTGAGATAGTAGAAAGTTGGAATTAGGTGGACATGGTTTATTTCAACGTGTCGCTCCGAGATTTGACAGGAGTAAATGAAAAACTATGTGAAAGAACTTCATTGAAACTACCAGTAAACTGGTAAAAGTCATACTTCCGTGTTAGTCTTGATGTTCTCATGGCGGTGACTATTAAGATTACGGTATTCTGGACTACAATGTCGTGTGTTTCGAAGGACGCATCGCTACCATCTCTGGAGGAAGAGTGACCCATGCAAGAAACCAGCAGAAACACGCGGCGATAAGAGATAAGGTATTCATACTTTTCGTCTCTGAAGATTGAGGTGATTTGTTCCTCCGAAACGTTTGGCTGTCTCCCAACTGTTTAGAATTACAACCTAGAATACATTATTTTCCATAAATTAGATAATATATGCATAGCAAGTTATTTCTGCTGTTTTCGTTCCCTTCTATTTAATTATCTGGAAAACCGCATGGAAGTTTGCTTCACATAAATATTTGTATTTTATTTTTCTTTACATTATTTGTTCGAACTTTTTTTTTACACTGATAAATACATATTTTGAAATTAAGCTCGAGATCCGCGCAGGAACTCCGGTAAGTCTTTAACTGGAATATCTCTTATTGTTCTGTTTGAACCAAAATTGTAATGGGTCGACTCCCCCGTAACAAATACCTGGAAAATATGCTCAGCGGTGCTCGCGTTTCACACGTACAGACACACGAAAGTAGCTGTTGTAATATGCGCTCTGCAGTGTTGAGAACGCAAAGTCCGTACACATATACTTTTGCCTCATAATTTTCCTATCCAGAATGGTCTCAAAAAGGAGATGCTTTATCGCCATTGCTTTTCGACTTTGCTTTAGAATATTCCATTAGGAAGGTCCAAGAAAACGAAGTGGAACTGAAATTAAAAGGGACACATCAGCTGCTGGACTGTGCTGATGATGTGAATCTACTAGGTGAAAATATAGATACCACAAAGAAAAACACAGAAACTTTAATTGACGTTAGTAAGGAAGTTGGTCTAGAAGTAAACACAGAGAAAACTAAGTACATGTTGCTGTCTCTTCACCAGAGAGCGGTGAAAAATCTTTGACATGAAGATAGCTAACAAATCCTTTGAAAATGTGGCACAGTTCAGATATTTGGGAACGACAGTAACAAATCAAAATTTAATTCAGGAGGAAATTAAGAGGAGTCTGAATTCGGGTAATCCTTGCTACCATTCGGTCCAGAAGCTTTTGCCTTCACATCTTCCGTCTAAAATCATACAAAATAACAATACACAAAACTATAATTTTGCGTGTGGTTCTGTATGGGTGTGAAACTTAGTCTGTGACATTAAGGGAGGAACACAGACTACGGGTGTTTGAGAACAGGGTGTTGAGGAGAATATTTGGACCGAAGAGGGATGAAGTGACGGGAGGTTGGAGAAAACTACATCATGATGAGCTTCATTACTTGCACCCTTCGCCAAGTATAATTAAAATAAGCACATCACGGAGGATGAGATGGACAGGGCATATAGCACGAATGAGGGAGGAGAAGAAAAATTATATTGGTGGGAAAGCCAGAAGGAAAGAGACCACTAAAAAGACCAAGACGTGGGCGGGTGAATGATATTAAATGAAGATCTTAGAAGAATAGGATGGGATGGTGTGTACTAGATCGATCTGGCTTAGCACAGGGTCCAGTAGAGGGCTCTTGTGAGCACGGCAATGAACCTTCTGTCTCAATAAATTTTTGGGAAATTCTTGAATAGCTACACAATTTCGTGCTTCTCAAAAGGGACTCAGCTCCATGAAGTTAGTAAGTTAGTGCTGAGAAGTCAACTAAAACAGTGAACAGAATTTGTAAGAATTCGATTAAATGGGAATTGTTGTGCCGTAGATTAGCCAACTTGTCACTCCGTTCCTGAGGCTGTGAATTGGGTATGCCTAGACCCCACACAACTCATAACGAATTAGGAGGTTGGGAATTGCTATCATGAACTCATTGTCCTTGTCACTTTTCATTCATTTATTCAACGTGACCCTGTGATCGTACATTACAACTTCAAGTGACACAATTACTACTCGTATCAGTGCATTTCGATATGAAGGTATCACTCACGCCTCAATTTAGAAGAAGTGAAAACATTTAGCTGCTTTATAAGTAGCATATTTCTCATATGTTCATAATGAAAACTCATCATGTACTTGATTCATTTTCATGTGTCGCTGATTTGTCATGACTAATTAGAAATACTGGGCTTCCCACTAGGAGAACGTTAATTAAACGCTAATTGTGATCTCAACAGAGAAAATAAGCCATATGATTCTATGAGGTAAAAATAGTGCTTATGTGATATCAAGAATTAATCTTGGTAAATTGCATTTCAAGGTCGCTGCATAAGAAAACTCATTGTGCCTTTGATTTTTTTTTTCAGATGGTATGTCTACACCTGTGTCGAGTCTACACCTGCCCAAACGAAGTGAGTTGTCTATCCCTGCTCAGTTTAATTTTAGTGTTCAGTGTGTTTGATGTCTGATTTGAGTTTCTCACGGCAGTGACTATGAATAGAAAAATCTACTTGGTTGTAATGCCATGTAGCCCCATAGAAGTAAACAGATATTTCAGAGGAAGGTATCGCCTCCAAACAAACCAGCAGTAACCCGGTAACCCTGAAGATTGAGGTGATAGGTTCCTCCGAAACTTCAGTGAACTTCTACCGAATTACATGGCGTTTCATCCCAGAATATCGTACTCTTCATGTTTAATGACTTTTCTCAAAAGCCGGTTATAGAATATTTAAAGTCAGTTCGATTTGGTTAATGACAATGATGCCGGAACGGTATTTTAGAACACACGCCTACTCTTTGATGTTGTAGGTTGCGTCCCATTTGTGGAACGTATGAGGACTCCAGACGGAGCGGAAATCTTTTACACCAAAATCATTGTTGTCTAAAGGAACTACGCAAGATTATTATTATTATTTCCCATATTATCAAATCTAGGACATGAAATTGGATGGGGATTTAGCAAGCGTTACTGCAATTATAAATACATAGTAAAAGTAAAGTAAAGCTATCCCTGTAACAGGCCGTGGAGACCCATACGGTTGTGAGATGTTGACGTTCCCACATTTTCTAGACAATCGGCTTATAGATAGCGGTAAGTTTGTCAGTCTTACGCGCCGGCCGCCCTTTACCCCCAAGAATATTCCTGGTACTCATTTCTGTTAGAGTCTGAGTCGACCCCAGGGCCATATT